TTGAGGGTTTAGGGTTTAGGGTAGATTTTCGTGATGATGTCTGCCCTAAAACCCCTATAACCCTCTACCCTAAATCCCTAAATAAACCCTTAGCACCCTAAAAACCCCCTTTAAAACCCTAAACCCCCTCAAAGCCCTTTAGACTGCATCCAAGCCTCCCGGTCCCCCCAGATCACGACCGAGTCGTCCTGTCGGACAGCAGCGAAGAGAGCCACGGAGTCCACCACGCGGATCTCCTGTGGAAAAGGGGGCCTGCACGTTTAAGGGCTACTACAGGGTTTAGGGCTTTGGGTTTAGGGCAGCCGGTAGGGGTTTAGGGTTTCGAGTCTTCCGGTTTTGGGAGTTGGGGTTTAGGATTTGGGATTAAAGAGTGTGCGCTCTTGTGCGGGTTTTACTCAGTTATCGGGTGACGGTTGGGGATATTGAGGATACTCTCCGTATCAATCAGACACCCCCAACTACCCTCTGTTGTAGCACTCTAAGCCCTAAACCTAGCCCTAAACCCTAAACCCTAAACCCAGCCCTGAACCCTACAAACCCTGAACCCTACCACCATAAACCATAAACTCCCACGTTCTGTGTTGACCATCAGGGTTGGACCCCAGTTTGGTGATTCCTTATTCATATTACCACCTATCAGACCTAACTAACACATATATATATATATACATACATACATACATACATACATACATACATACATACATACATACATACATACAATACAATACAATACAATACAATACAATACAATACAATACAATACAATACAATACAATACAATACAATACAATACAAACATACATACATACATACATACATACATACATGTATATGTGAGAAGCAATATATATATATACATATATATACATATATATATATATACATATATATATGTATATGGAAAGCCCCAGAAACGACCATAAACACCCCGCTGCAGGGAGCCACAGCGAAACCCTGACACAAAAACCCTCAGCCAAAGCCCTGCAGTACGTAGGACCGGATAGTCGCCAAGACTCAAGGGCCGCGTGAGCTGTTAGAGCTGTCTGTTGAAACAGCCCTAAACCCTAAACCCTAAACCCTAAACCCAAACTGAATACTGGAAGTAGTATTTCGTCTTGGCACGAGTATGCAGCAGAAGACAAAGGTTCGATCCACAAAATGCATGCCCTTGTAGGGGTCCTGATCATAAATATAGTACTATGGGTTTAGGGTTTAGGGTTTAGGGTTTAGGGCTTACACCAACCAAGACCCCCTTCTTTATATGGCATTTTATCTTGCTCACGGAGCACACTAGTGACCGCTCCTGTGTCGCTTCGAGCAGGTCTAGTCGTAACGACTTGGCGTGCCCGAAAAAACTTACGCTAAGGGTCCGAGGTGTCGCCTTAAGTCCAGAATCTTCTAAGGAACACCCTTGGGCTCTGTGGGGTGTCTCAGAAATCCTGGTTTTGAGGGTCCCAAAAACTATCAAAGGTCCTTAAGGCAAACCGTAAGACCCCCCATCCTCCTTCCCAGCGTTCTTCTCGGTCCTTGACGTTCTGTAGCACGTCCAAAGGCAGATCGTTTCCAGAGATCATCTGGGAGCATGTAACTTCAGGCCCTAGATGATACTTTCCGAAAATTTGGGGTACCTTATACCGTCTTGCACTAGAACTCTTATGGCAACCCTGGCACATATTGTATAGTAAGCCCCTTGAGCAACCCGTGCATAGAACGCTTCGAATTCCGTCGAGCCCGTACAAAACTGTTCGATTCGCGGCTGCGGGGCTTTGGATTTTCCACTTTGGGAATCGGAGGGGCCTGTACTATTAGGGTTTAGGGTTTGGGGTTTGGGGTTTCGAGTTTAGGGTTTGGGATTCACTAAGGTTTGGGGGGGTGTATGATAGCATAACTCTGCAGAGAATAGAGGGGCAGACTACTAGTACTGGCTCCGATCTCCAAAAAACACGATGGGCCCTACAGCAAAACACCATGAACCCTTTGAACCCTCTATGGTAATGGGTTTCGAAATTCTTTGAGCGTCCGAAATCCCTCAAGCCGGAGGTGTATGTCCCTTTGGGCTTTAGCCTTCATGGTTCAGGGCTTCAGGGCCCTTTAGGGTCTTTTGGATGATATGGCAGAGGATACACAAAGGAAGGCCTGGGTCTTGTTGGGGTCTGGATTCCCCTAAAGCCAACGGGCCATGAACCGAGTTAGGGGATTTAACTTAAGTTGCCATAAGAAAGAACCCATTTTTGGGTTTATTTTTCAGGGTTTCGGATTTAGGGTTTAGGGTTTAGGGATTTACTATCGATCCCCATGATGGTAAGATAAGTAAACTCCCTAACAAGCACCCAGTGAAGGCCTTGAGGCTTCAATTTGTCTTCCTCCAAAATTCGAAGACCGTGGTGCACCATGGAATTCATTGTCTAGGAGGTTTCAGCACTACTTATTCAGAAACCATCCGAACAGGATTGAAGAGTCTCAAAACTATAGGGATTAGGGATTTGGGGCTCAGGGTTTCTTTATGGCTCTTCTTAGCAGGACCGCCTTTTCTAAAGGCTATCCAGCACGGCCAAACAAGAATCTACGATCAGCCTCCAACCCCCAACTGACCACAGAACCATCCGCGCATAGTCCAGCAAATGCCCCGAGTGTGGCACGGACCTTCAGGGATGCGAGGGCTGTTTTGAAAATTAGAGCCATATCATATAAAGCGGAGATGGTTTGAACAGGTCTTATATCACGTACTTGGGGGAATTTCAGGTTGTCGATTTAGAGCTCAGTTAACGCGGACAGCCAGCAACTCCCAAACATGTCAAATGAAAATAGCATGGGCGACGCAAGGTTTAGGACTTTGGGGGCGTTAAGCGTTGCTGGCTTTAGAGCCGTAAGGCTAAAGCACACTCAGCCCCTTTGGGGTTTAGCTTCAGAATTACCGCCCCCCCTCGCCAAACCTAGACCCTTAAAACCCGTGATTACCCAAACAGTTTGAAGCAGCTGTATGATACATAAAACATAACTATTCCCGAACCTGCCGTACATCCTTCAGCAGGTGCTGAACGAAGCCCGAGTCCCCGCCGAAGGCGCGGTGGCCCCAGGTGATCTGCAACTTTGGGATACTTGAGGCTTTGGTCTCTAAGGGGGTTTTGACTGGCTGTAGTTGTGCATTAGGGCTCGGGAGGAGTCTGAACATTGCATGTATACTATGCGAAAGCATACTCCATCGGCAACGTGCGGTTTCCTAGATCGCAGGGAGTGGGGAGAAGGGCCTAGGGCCTTACTATGATTTCCACCGGAATTAACCAGCTGCGATTAGGGTGCTGCTGTAAAAAACAAGCTTTGCTCAAGATTTCCCTTGGAGCAGGGGTGTCAAGGTTGCGGAGGGCTGTCTATCATAATCCGAGGCACGACAGAGCCGTCCTCCCTCTGTGCTGCGAAAGCTCCGACGGTGGCCTTGATTGAAGGGATTCATAGAGGGGCCTTAAAGAATCAAATAAGGGTTTTGGGGGTATATGACAGTACAATTACACCGGGACTAGAAGGGGGTACCGGGGTACCTATTAAGAACTTTCTTCAAGCCGCTATATTGGACTTTGGAAGGTGTGGGGATTCATGGCTTGCTTCCTCAGACGGCAAGAGGATAGGGGAGAGTGAAGGGGAGTCTCGAATTTTGCAGAAAGGTGGGCGGAGGAAGCCCTACTCATGAAACCCTAAACCGTGGACTTATTCATGAGTCCTAGCTGGCCCTAGGCCCCTAAACAGACGGTCTGGACTGCACTTCAGAGCTTAATCAGGCGTTCTGGATGGTTTTGGGCCACACAGCAGAGGTGTGTAGAGCGAGATTAGGGTTTAGGTTTCGGGGTTTAGGGTTTACGGTTAGGGGATAGAAGCAGATGAATGAATTCAGACACACTTCTTGCCCACTTTGCAGACAACGTCAACCAGGATGCCAAAACCGTACATATAGGCTTCCCCTACACTCTAACAGAACTCTAAACCCTTAGGCCATATGAACCCTAAACTTAAACCCAAAGCCCAACACCCGATAATAAATCCAAAAACGGCCAAAGCCCTAACCCTACACCTGCAAATCCCTAAGCCAGCACCCCCAAAACGCCCTGCGAAGCCCTGAACTCCCAACTTTGATACCCTAAAACCCTAAGCCCTAAAGCTCAAAACCCCAAAAAGCCCTAAAGCCCTAAACCCTTAAAGAACCCCTCATAGATCCCTTTAAAGTAACCCTAAACCCTAAAGCCCTTAAGGGAAGAACGAACCCCAGGCCTCGATCTGCTGCACGCTGCGAAGCTGTGCTTGCACTGCGTGGCTGTCCCCTCCGTAGGCTGCACCTTGGGATGGGTCTTCGGGTTCAGGGCTTAGGGGCTGTACAGCTTAAGACTAAGAGCTTCGAGTTGAGGGCTTCGGGTTCGGCCTAAGGGTTGAGGCTTCGGGTGTTAGGAGTCACTGTCCTGGCCACGCAGGGCGCGAGCTGAGTCGGTTGCTCCCCCAGATCGGTGGGCTTGATCAGCTTGGGGAGTATAGAGCCCTCTACAACTCTTTTGTCAAAGCCTGACCCTAGGCTTCCAGGGACCTTATAGTTTGGGCCCCCCTTCAGGACCCAATAAGGAGGTCCCTGGAAGCCGAGGGTGACAAACCCCTACAAAGTCCAAAGACCTTCGAGGCACATCCCCAGGTCACGACCGTGCCGTCCCTGCGCAGGGCCGCGAAGGCCGCGCAGTGCATGGCCAGGCAACGGCAGGCCGTGGACCAAATCTGAGCGCTGGTGAATTAGAGCGTAACAATACTTCAAAACCGTAAGAAAATGGTAACATCACCAAAAAATAATACTAATAATAATGTTGGGCAATATGTTGTGCTCTTACCTTTCATGTCTCAGAAGCTATGTCGGCAGTTCTCCAAATTCGGGTCCCCGTTTAGGTCCAAAATATAGTACGGCACCTTTATAAAAGGACCCTAGAGGAGACCCCCAATTTAGAGAAGTACTCATGTGGGTTAAAGTGCTCAGAGTGCTTCAAGAAGGTGGTGGGGCTCTTAGAGTGTTGTGTAAGGGTTTTAGCATTGTTCGGCTTCTGATAGTGTTTCATGGGGATTCTTTTCGGACTAGTCTTGTGGCTACTTCAAAAGACTGCAGTTCTTGAAGGATGAGACTGTTGTTTTAGAGTCTGTGGTTTCACCAGTATCTTTCGGCTTATGCGGCTAAACCCTAAACCCTAAACCCTAGACCCTAAACCCTAAGCCCTAAGCCCTAAACCCAAAGTCCTAAGCCCTAAACCCTAAACCCTGAACCCTAAACCCTCAACCCCAGACTCTAAACCCTAAGCCCTAGACCCGTAACCCTACACCCTAAGCCCTAAACCCAAAAGTTCCCAGGGCCATGGCGCAAGGCTGAGGCTTGGGGTTTGATGGGGCCTTTACGGCTCATAGGATGAAGGGATTTCAGCTTGAAGGAATGGGTTTAGGGTTTCGGGTTTAGGGTCGTAGGGTTTAGGGTTTAGGGTCTAGGGCTTAAGGGCCGTTCTTGCGAAGGACCAGGAAACTTCAAGCAGCGTTTGATATACGGCCTTACTCGTTAGAAAAGAGTTCTGGAGCATGTCTTGGTAGAGCTGTACAGGGACAAGAGGGAGGATGCTCTTCAATTTACTGCGTGAACCCAACAAGGGTCCCTTAGAGGTAGAGGGAAGCCTTTTCTCAGACCTGCGGGATATCGGGACCTTCATGATTAGAATAGCATCTTGAGGTATGTGACATCATAGTTACAACAAGGAACCCCCAAAATACTGTTGGCAATTCTTCAGGCCCGTATAGTATCCGCTGCCTGCTGCACGTCCTTCAGCTGCCCACGAACCGCGCGGCTATCCCCTCCAAAGCCTCACAAGGTTTAGGGGTTTAGGGGTTCAGGGTTTAGGATTAGGGTTTAGAGTGCAGGGGTTAAGGGTTTAGGCTTAGGGTTTAGCGTGGTCGGGCTCAGGACGTGCAGGGCGGTGTTTGCGACAGGATCTCCTTCAGGGTGCAGGGCTTTGCAGCAGAACTTAAGGCTTGGGGTTTAGGGCTTTGGTGTTTGGGGTTCAATTCAAGACATTTCAGAAGCATGGTGCCAGAGTGAGCACCTTGAAGTCCCTACAACAAAAAACTGAAGACACTCCAAGGCACACCCTCAACCCTGAATCTTTAGTTAGGGCCCTGTGGTCTAAGCCGCTAGCCTCGACAACCTTCATTAAAACACATAAAACCCCATAAAACCCAAAAGCACACCCCTGCAATTACAAAACCTTCATCAGCACCCTCAACAACTCTTGTTGAAAGAAGCATTATGCAAGCAGTTTGAGGTTTTGGTGTTCCCGCAACCCTAAAACCTAAACCCTAAACCCTGAAAACCCTTACACCCTAAACCCTAAAACCCTAAAGCCCTAAAACACTAAACCCTAAAACCCTAAAGCCCTAAACTCTAAGAATAGACACAAGAAAATGCCGCGTCGCATTTGTGGCCCCAGGTGACGACGGAGCTGTCGGCGCGAAGAGCCGCGAAGGCTCCCGCGGAGGCCTTTCAAGGGAAGAGGTTAGGGTTTTAGGTTTACTTTAAAGGGATCTATGAGGGGTTCTTTAAGGGTTTAGGGCTTTAGGGCTTTTTTGGGCTTTGAGGTTTAGGGTTTAGGGTTTTAGGGTTACTTTAAGAGATCTATGACGGGTTCTTTAAGGGTTTAGGGCTTTAGGGCTTTTCTGGGCTTTGAGGTTTAGGGTTTAGGGTTTTAGGGTTACTTTAAGGGATCTATGAGGGGTTCTTTAAGGGTTTAGGGCTTTAGGGCTTTAGGGCTTTTTTGGGTTTAGAGGTTTAGGGTTTGGGGTTTAGGGTTTAGGGTTTGGGTTTGGGGTTTAGGGTTTTAGGGTTTAGGGTTTGGGGTAAAGGGGTCGGGACGGTAGGGTTCAAGATGTTCCCTCAAGGGTAATATCACAAACCCTAAACCCAAAACCCTAAACCCTTTATGACTCTAAGGAGTTTAATTCGTTAAGGGTTCCCTAAGCAGTTGAGAGGTTTGTTTTTTTTAAGGCTTTAGGGTTGCAGCTTTAGGGCTTCTGGCCTTCTAGAAGGTCTGGGTTTAGGGTTTGGGGTTTAGGGTTTTGGGTTTAGGGTTTTGGGTTTAGGGTCTGCTAGGGTGCTTACAGTCACTGAAGGAGTGCTGGTATCATTCGCCTCCACTGGCTTTCTAAGGGCTCTAGTGGTCCATGAGGGGTTTTTGTATGAAGGTCCTAATGAAGAGCTCGTGAGTCGGATTCTTGGTAACCCTAAACCCTAAACCTCCAGACCCCCCAAACCCTAAACCCCTAAACCCCTAAAACCTTAAAACCCGAACCCCTCAACACCTCAACCCTAACCCCTCAACCCCTCAACCCTAACCCCTAAACCCCTAAAGCCCCAAAGCCCTAGAAGCCCTAAACCCCTAAAAAAACTAAGACCCTAAAAACCCTAAAAAAACACTAAAACCCCTAAAAACCCTGAAAACCCTAAAACCCTACGAGTGCTGCAGGGGTCTGAAGGGTTTTGCGGGGAGCCTTGGGGTTGAGCTCAGCTCAGTTAACTGGGTTCTTGTTGGGGGGGTGTAGGGTTTAGGGTCTAGGGCTGTTTTGGGTTTTGAGGTTTAGGGTTTGGGGTTTGGGGTTTAGGGTTTAGGGTTCAGGGTTTAGGGTTTTAGGGTGTAGGGTTTAGGGTTCAGGGTGCAGGGTTTAGGGTTCTTGTTCAGGGATTTAATTAAAGTTACCATTAGAAAGAAACCCTATTGGTTGCAATAGATCCCTACTATTTACAATAGATCCCTACTATTTACAATAGATCCCTATTGTGGCAATTTAGATTAAATCCCTTAACAAGAACCCAGGTTAATAGGACCTTCCGGGGCTTTGGGGCGGAGGGCCGAATCTAGGATAACCAACACGAGCAAGACGACGACGGTGACGGTGAATATTATTATGATGATTATTACTGTGATTAGGATTATGAATAGTATTATGAGTATTATGATGATTCTTATGAGGATTATTATGACTATTACTATGATGATGAATTGTTTCGACGTCACCATTATGACGGACGTGATGATGGTGGGCTGCTGGTGGCGATGACACTGACCGTGTTGAGAAGATATTGAGGGCGACCATGACAAGAGGACGGTTCAGGGCTCAATGCCTCAGGAACTTCCATACCTGCTTACAATCTCCCACGACCCTTCTCAAAGTACAAACCCTAAACCCTAAACCCCCTAAACTCCCTAAACTCCCTAAACTCCCTAAAGCCCCTAAACCCCCTAAACTTCCCTAAACTCCCTAAAGCCCCTAAACTCCCTAAACTCCCTAAACCCTAAACTCCCTAGACTCCCTAAACCCTTAAGTGCTTTAGCGCAAGGCAGGGAGGACCCGGGAGGAGCCCCGGCCGTAATCTGCTGGACGCCAGTGAGGCGGGCACGTACGGAGTCGCTGCTACCGCCGTAGGCAGGGTTGCCCCAGGTGACCTGGGATGGAAAGGGCTTAGGGTTTAGGGGTTTAGGGGTTTAGGGGTTTAGGGGTTTAGGGGTTTAGGGTTTAGGGTTTAGGGTTTAGGGGTGCTTAGAGGCGTTCCGCTGCAGCAACCTTCGCCAATGATTGCAACGCTGTTGCACTTATAGTGGGGACTTCTTAGGGCCGCTGAGGGATCGAAGAGGCGCTTCACGCTCTGCCGACCCGTTCTTTCCGCGTTGCTGCAGTTCTGTCGCTTCCTGCCTAATGGCATGTGTTGTTCGTCCATTTTGCCGCGGCAAGCTGTTTACCAGATAGCATTATCTGCGACTCTTCACGTCTGCAATAAAGGGGCATTGCTAACTAGAAGAATGTTTGGCGGAGCATACATATCTAGGGACTATAAGCGGGCAACTTTTGCTCTTACTCGTGCCCCTGTATTTGCCCAAGATGCTACCGATCCATCCGTCTCGACGGCTGCGAAGGCCCCAAAAGCTGTTGCCGTCAGCGAGTGCACGGCGAAAAGCTTTTCCCTCACGATGCTGCTGTCGCCACCTGAGCACGCGCATGATTCTGGTATTCCGCTCTCTCGGATTCCTGTATGGGCTTTGGTACTTCCACTTCAGCTCGAGCTGAACATTTAGAGTTGGGGTGTCTGGCATCTTGTACTACAAACTACCTGCACTTGGGAGCGCAAGCCCCCATGGGGGCAAAACCCACAAAACACGACGAAGCCTCCAGAAAATGCTGTAGCACCCTCTCTGAAACTGTCCTGAGCTTGACCAAAAGCCCAAGTACCCTAAACCCTAAACCCCCACCACGGGCCCACCTCGATCTGGGTCGCCCCACGTCACCACGCGCCCGTCGCTCCGGAGCAGGGCGAAAGCAGAGCCAGTAGCTGAGAGGCTCCTTACAGGTTCTGTACTACATAACAACATTTGGAACTCTGACACCCGGAGGAATATACTACAATATACTATAGCTATAAATGTTCCATAATATACTATAGCATACCATAATATACCATAATATACTATAATATACTATAATATGCTTAGCCGTACTAGTCCTCTGACACGGGGGAAATCTAGGGTTCTGGGTCCTGAGGAGTTGGGTCAGTTTGGGGGTTCGGGAGGTTGGCGGTTTAGGGCTTTGGGTTTAGGGTGTAAGGGGTTTAGGGCTTTAGGGTTTTAGGGCTTTAGGGGTTTAGGGTTTCAGGGTTTTAGGTTTAGCGTTTTAGGGCTTTAGGGGTTTAGGGTTTTAGGGTTTTAGGGTTTAGGTTTAGGGTTTAGGGTTGGAGGTTTGCGGAGAAGGGGGGGTCTGACGTCGGGGCCTGAATCATTCGACTAGCGGGGGCTTCAGAGCTAGAGCCACAAAGCCTGTAGCTATATGGTGGAACCCTAGTAGAATACTGAAACCCTAAACCTAAACCCCTAAACCGCTAAACCCTAATCCCCTTAAAGTAACCCCGGAAAGGAACCCTAAATTCTAATATTTCAGGCCTTGAGACTACCGTTCAAAGGGTTATGGAGCTCCTAGAGCTCGGGACTTCCTCAGACTTTCGGGTTGCAGATCTCGCGCCCGAAAAGAAAGGAGCGCCGCACCATCGGCCAGTTTAGGGCTAAGGGTTTAAGCTTTT